CTTCTACGACTTGCACATTATGAAAACTGCGTTTTCGAGTTAACTTTTCATGAAATGGGAGATAAGAAGCTAATGAGAACTGAAAATATGGATTTCTCAGATTATCTTTCGGCTCGAAGTGGGATTATTGGAACAGTGGGACATTTCCATGGAAAAAACTTTTTTTCTTAAATAATCTATCCTTTATAGCATAAATTTGCTTACAATCCTTTCATAACTAAATTTGCTAAAAAATCAAAAATTCAATTGCGCAGGTCCCAAAAAGCCACATTAAAGTTTAGACAAACAGACATGTAGTCCATAAACATAACGCCGCATCCTTTCATCTGTTTTCATTTTTTGCAGCGCCAATAAGAAGTTTTTCCTATAAATCAAGCTAATAAAAAATCCCTATTTCTCAAGCTACTGACTGATTACTAAAGTCTAGTGAAAATTTCTTCTAGTAAAAAAGGCAAGTAAGAGAGCGCACGTTTATAGAAATTTTGTGATGTGTAATATTGAAAAAGAAGGATACAGCTCTCTGGCGTTGAGTCAATCCCTGAGGGTGCGCCATGGCAGTCGACTTCAATTTCTAACTTCGTTTGAGGGTGATTGATGCATATCTGGCCTTTAACAATGGACTCGCGGAGGCCTCCCGCTGAACCGAGTCTGCTGCTTATCCTCCCAGACAAGTCTGAGACCTGTCTGGTACCAATTTACCGACCCCGGAGGGATGGATGGCTTGGTGAGCCATGAGCGCGAGATCGAACCATTGACCTCGTGTGCGACGCAGGGCACCTCTAACCACTGCGCCACATGGCGCTTTCTTATGTGTAGTATTACAGCGGGACATATGTTTCATTGCGACACAAGGTGGCTTCTCTTCGGAATGTAGGTATTCTCGCTACGTCCGAGTTCTCTTCAATAGCAGACTATTTAATAGAACTCTCATCTGTAATAATATTCATCGAAATCGAAATTTATCAGGATCAACATTTTACGGGGGGGGGGGGGGGATTATGCCGAATTCGCTGTAAAATTGTAACTGCTTACTCCGAAAGCAAAACGTAATTCCTTATAGCAGCTATTACTTCGTACTTACTTTCAAAAACCTAAGCATGCTGGCTGAAATCTCCAGTTTTTCAGGCTACTAAATGGTTTACTGATCATCTGACAAAGAAGCGCTTTTTTGATGAAGGAATTTTTTCTTGGGGCCCCGTAGATTTACGCAACTTCCCATAACCTGGCCAAAGTAAAACAAGCACTTTGCTTCATTATCAACTTAGTTTTGCTTCTTTAGAGTCAATATAATTACTGATTTTCTTCTTTGAGCAAAACACGAGGTGTTACAATAAACTTTATTCACAGGTGACGTTTCGGCAGTTCGCCTTCTTCAGAGCCTGGAAAGGTCAAATTGTCCGCAGTCCAATCAGTCAAACACCTCCATTACTCCTTTAGAAAAAAATCACCAGACCTAGATTTCAATCGCATCAAGCGCAAAAACAACTCTCAACATACTCACCGCTTTTTATATGTGTTCCACTGGATGATCCAAGTGGAGATCACCGGCAAGAGAAACACATAGGCTCGTAATGCACCTCTACCCATCAAAACAACAGTCTTATATACTGACTCCAATCACGAGTGATATCAAGGCATTCCTCCCTGCGGTTTATGGTTGGATTGGTCGCATTAATCCAAAACGCTTCCAAGATCTTTCGCGCTGATGTTTTTTGCTCCTGCGCAAGGATGGTGACTTCGATTTCAAAATCAACTCCGTCGTGCTTCTGTGCTCTATGCGTCCCTAGCGGGGTGTTCCGTCTATTAAGACGCTTGTCAGCTAGGTGTTCTTCTATGCGAGCATAGAGCGGCCTACCCGTTTCGCCAACATATTTATCACTACACGCTTTGCACGAGACTAGGTAGACTGTACCTACGCTCATGCAATCACCGTCTCTGCCGTTAGGACATATTTTACAATCTTTCGTTATGCAGAGACGGTCATATAAGCGATTGCGAACTAGTTGGCGTTTTAGGAGTATTCGGTGGTATTTCAATAATGGTCACCGATTGCTCTAAACCCGCTCTTTTCAAACAGCGTTTTATAGCTGTACTAATCTCATTTGAAAGAACGGGAGGATAAACGGGACTTTCCTTTCAACTAAGTTTTCGTTCGGAGGCGCATTATTTCCTCTAAACCTAAGCCGAGGGGCTACGAATTTGTATCCATTAGAAGTGGCTATTTCCCGAGCCAGTTTCACGGATTCTACTCTCTGCTCCTCCCCGGTACATACATTGGCTGCTGTTCGAAACATGTTTTTTACTAGCGCCTTCTTCGTATGTGAGGGATGAGAAGAGAGATAGTGAACCAGGATATTCTTACTACTTGGCTTTCGGTACCACTTCGTTATGTAGCCGCTCTCAGTTAAGCTTATTTGCACGTTCAAGAATGGAAGCCAATCGTCTTTTGGTATCTCACGGGTGAATCTTATATACTCTGACTGTTCATTCAGCAATCTAAAACAATTATCTAGCTCCTCTTGAGTGGAACAGATAACCAAACAATCATCTATATACCTACAGTAGAGTAATGGCCGGAGATCCATTACTGGTGCTTCCACTCTAGACATAAAGGCAATCGCCAGGCTAGGTGCCAGTCGCTGTCCCATTGCCAGCCCTCTCATTTGAGTATAATATTTCCCGGACCATCTGAAGATTGAGCAGTTCAAGCACTCTTTTAGTAGGATCATGAACTGCTCAATCGTCAAGCCATACATGTTTACAGCTCCCTGGTGTTGTATCAGAAGCTCATGTGTGGCTTGCAATGCGGAGTCATTCGACACGTTGGTATATAAAGCAGTGACGTCGAATGACTCCATTACGTACGCTCTGTTCGGGTTCGCGTTACGTAAACGTTCCAGGAACATCTGAGTGTTTGTTAGATGGGCTGGAATGTGTCCTAGCAACTGGGATGTTATTAAAGTTAAAAACCATGCTATCCGATCCGTCGGTCCGCCTACACAGCTGATGATGGGTCTAACCTTGAATATAGATGGATCGTTAGACATTAGATCATCAGTGGATACTAACTTATGTGTTTTTATAAGTAAGTATAAGACAGGACATGTTGGTGACTGGATTTCAATTGAGAAATGATAGATGGTCTTAAAGCCTGCCGGCTTTTGTGCCGTATCGGAACCCACTCATTGTTTAATTTGCGGTTTTGCCCTTTTAATGCCTTTTGCCGTTCTTTAGAGTCAGTCAATTTATTTGTGGGCTATTGCATAAATAACTTCGTGTGGTTGAAGTTGGTAAAATTCAGTGAACTTTATAGTTTTTATTTCAAACACTTCACAATTGAGCTCATGATTTAGCTGACGGTCACAACTGCCGGAGACCAAAGTGCGAGCCAAGCGGACCCGATGACAACATTCGTACCGCTCTGTTCACTACGCTTTGCCACGTCTGTCTTGGACCAATTCCCCATGATGATGTTCGTGGTCTACAGAGATTGTTTTCAAAAACGAGTCTATATGATAAAAGAATTTCAGACCATAAGTACCATAAGTCTTCCTGCGATTGTGCGTTGTAATTAGTGGAGACCAGCGTGAAGATTATCAGTTCTTGCTCAGCTCGCATTTTTCCTTCAATATTGCAGTGCATGTGATTGTCACCCGATGTTTGTCCACGATGAGGCAATTTGGAGTCCATGTTATCCTCCGGAAGGAACTGTAAAAACTTCTTTAATGAAGAAATTACCTATATTTTTGAGCTCTAGGCAAGTAGTCTGTATCGCTAATTTTTCCGTTTTCTCTTATTCGTATTTTAGCATAATATCAAAGTTCACGTGAAGACATTGAGTGTGTAGCAGAGTAATATTGGAATTTCCTGTCAATGCTTTTTATTCTTCTGTTTGCACTTTTAAACCGTGACAATCGCGGATAAGCAGCAAGTGTTTTTTCATTTACGTTCATGTTAAACTATATTGGGATGTTAGAGAAGAGGTGGATTGGACGATTTTCAATACATTCGGGTGCAGAATGAATCGTTAAGTAGCAGGAACAAGTCATAACAACAACAACATGTTTGGCTCAGGAGCTGCTAACAAATGTACAGTGAAGTGGTGGTTTGATGACTTCAGTAAAGGACAAGAGAGCTTCGAAGATGAGCAACTCATTACTTTTTCCATCTATAATCTAATTACTGGAAAGAAAGAAGCTAATCCTTTAAGGATTGTACGAGATGTTGCAAAAGAATTCAACGTTAATCAATTCTACGGTCGTTTGGCACTTCAAACCACTGTAGAAAGAGTAAGTGGCGGCCTTCGTTATGGTATGAAAACGCAATTTCTTTGACCAATCTGATAGAAGTAGAAACACGCTTTGCCTTTCTAGTAATCAATTGATTATGTGTGCAGATGTGTAGTGTGTGTAGACTAGAAATTGAGGGAAAATTTGCCTATGCGGAAAAGGTTTTTAATCGGCAAAAATCATGACTCTATATCAATTTTAGGGCGCAGTGACGTCTTCCAACAGATCACCCACCGTCATCTGCCACCTTTACTTTGATACTACAACCGTTTCTCCGGGAGAAATGCACAGGGGCAGGTGTAATCAAGGATAACTGTACTGTCCGTGTAGTGTACATAACTGTATCACTGCCAGCTCGTTTTATCACTGTCCGACATCAAATTCGTGTCCTGGCACTTATTTCATCTGAGTGAAACGTTTTTCCGTATATCACTTACGAAAGTCTACGATTTTGCTTATGACTTCGCTTGATGCTTTCGCTTAATGCTTCGATTTTTCAGAATTTTTTCTATCTGACTGCCACTTGCAGTGGTATGATGTCATAGTTTACCCAATAGTGTGGAGTGCCGTGCAAAAACGTTTGCGTCAGTCGGGATTTGAACCCAGATCTCACTCTTCCCGGGAGCGAATGCTAACCGCTGCACCACCGACGCTCGTTTTGCACAGCGCTCTTATGCGTTATAGCGTAAATAAGAGTGCTGTGCAAAACGAGCGTCGGTGGTACAACGGTTAGCATTCGCTCCCGGGAGGACTGATATTCTGGGTTCAAATCCCGGCTAACGCAAACGTTTTTGCACAGCACTCCACATTATTGGGTATATTGTTACATCATACCACCGCAAGTTGCGGTCAAATAAAAAGAATTCTGATTGATTATCGATAAAAAATATCCTGTCAACACAAGTGGCTTCAATGCCGGTAGCGGCTTCCCCGCCAGACCATCGACGGTTGGCTGTTGATAGATAACGCCTTCCTAGAGTAAAAAGAGTGCTGTGCAAAACGAGCGTCGGTGGTGCAACGGTTAGCATACGCTCCCTGAAAGGGTGAGATCTGGGCTCGAATCCAGCCTGACGCAAACGTTTTTGCACAGCACTCCACATTATTGGGCTTCGATTTTTCTCGTCAACACGAATGTCGTCGATTGTCGTAGGATTTGATGCACTTTAGAATCCTATGGGGGCTGTGAATGGGCGCTCCCACATAATCATTGCAGACAGTAGCCATCAACCAAAGATCGTCTGATACATCTACCACCAAGTTCAAGATTTAGAGAGATAAACTACTCTGTTGGGATGGGTAGTGACGAGACAATGTCCTACGCTTATTGACAGGGACCGTCACAAATACCATTGGTGAGTGATACTCTAAATGACTACTGATACTGATAACATTGAGCAATTGCAGAACTAATAAAATAAATCCAATGAGTACATTACCTCCAAAACACCTAAAGTGTTGTAAAAAAAACGAGTGATTCTGGAACAATCTTTCTGCTATCTGCCATTTGTACATTTTTTTCTAACACGGAAAGATTACCGTGAGAATACTACAGACAATGAATTTTATTTTAAGTGCATTCAGTTTATATGTGTATTTTTCGAACTCATATTTAGAAGTATAAACCCACATTTCAACATTGCTGGTATCCCAACAGTCATAAACTTGCATCCTAGAGGAGCTTGACTGATCTGAACATCGAGACTGACTCAAAATGTTTGAGATTTCGGCATCAAGGAGGCCTGCGCTTCGACCTTGTTGCTCGAGAACATCATTAACTTAGGAAAAACATCTTCTCAAGCTGGTAGGATTGATGTGAAAGTATCCTATATGTAGTGGAGAGAAATTCTGGAAGAATTTAGCATATTTTGCACTGGTTCATGGAGTCGCGGAAGACATAGTGGAAACCAAAGACTTTTGAACATACTGTTTTGCATTACGAGGCGAGATACGAAATGACAAAGCGGCAGCTGAAGTAGCTGCAATACCGGAAACCTGAGCAGGGACACCGGGGGTGGAAGAGTAAACCATATTCACCGGTAAACTAAAGTCGCCCAACAAGCAAAGCTTGTTAGTCCTTGCTGTAACAAAACTTCAATAGGTTTGTCATCAAGATTTAAAAAACAAGGTTATTATGTTGGAACTGTTTTTTTGAGACTGATAAACTTTGAGACTTTTTGCTATTATGTTCAACATCTTTCCATCATTACGTTTTTGCATTAAGAGAACTCACGAGTGATCATGAACTAACATATGTAACCTATCCGATTATTTTTTAAAACACTTTAAATTCACTTTATTTGAGTTATTGAACGACTATGCAAACGTTTTACAAAAGCAAAAAATTCGTTTTTACCAAAGGCCTCAAACAGGGTCGAGATAACTGAAAAGTACCGAAGTTCTAGCTCTTACCTTGACCCTGTGACATCACTCCACATCCCAACACTGTCAAGGGTATGGCTAGTATCAAAATCTGCAGAGTAGGAGGTCTTTCGATCTTTAATGACAGTACTCTTATAGTCCAAGTGGCAGAGCGAATACCACGCAACAAACTGAAGAATAGTTAACTCGCTCTCGAAACAGCTGCAAAGCAACAACAATAGTTGTACGGCGCACATCTGTTCAACGACTTCAGTGAGACAGCGATTTTTCTAGCTCGTAGGCCTTTAGACGGACTCTAAAAGTCTCTAACAGTTTAAGTCAAGATATAATTCCTCTTAGTGGCCTGTATGATAGATTTTGCCATCCGAAAGCATACAGAAACCGATTAGTATGAAAAAAGTATGCCACATACTGAATGACAACGAAAAACGAGAAGCGATTACTTGGCGAATAATTTACTGGATGCACCAGTTCTTCAAGTGCTACGACTTAAAATGAGTTCTCACCTTCTCACCTGAATTGCTGTGGTATAAAATCTTTATTTTCACAAAAATAAAATTTATGATCAATAAAAAGCCATCTTTTGAGGTGCACGTTCAACATATGTGAGAAAATTAGTTAAAGAAAGACATCGATTGATAAGAACGAAGCAGTTTCTAACAGAAATTAGTTACAAAGAGAAAATCCTATGAGCTCAAATGAAATTACTAGCATAATCCTCCAATAAGGTTGTAAAATCGTCTTTGTATAATCAAATTAATTGATAACAGGAAGGACTTCTGCGGAACATCTCCTAAATAGTAAATGGGCACAAAATCTGTTGGCTCCAACAAAGTCAGGATGAGAAAATGATACTGCGTTGTTGTGAGGCAAAGACTTTTTTTATTTGCTGAATTTGTCAGTGATCGAAACGAAAGAGGGAATTTGACGTTTTGAAGAAATCTGAGATGATACTAAACACAATCGCTATATTGACCTTTCCAAACGTTCTAATTTCTTAATAAAGTTGAATGGTTTGCGTTTTTCTGATTTCTTTTTCAATTCCTAGCGTTTTCTTCGCGATATACAAACAGAACAATTTTGTTGTTATATATTTCGTATATTTTACGATTGAGTGTAACTAAGACTATATAGTTATCTCGCATTCGCATTTCTCAGAGGAATATTTTGATGTGTCGGAATTCGACAATTCCAATAGCATAAATCATCACTTTGTCTGATGAATGTTTCATGGAGAGACCTTTGTTTACTTACTCCCATTGTTTGAAGGTGATGATGGTTAACCGGCTAGAAGGAGCATTATGCTGACATTGGCGTTCTTGTATTCAACATGTCCTAAATAACGTTTATTGACGCTTGAAAACGCCCTTTTGAGAGCTCCAATGATCTATGAATACTGCGCTTTTGCAACTGTTAGATAGCATTTGTCTCTCTTTCCAGTTGAAGTTGATTATGAACAAGTTTTGCCGTCATGAAAGATAAATTTTTACTGAAGAGGCTCAAATAAGATCATTACAATGAAAAGATCTTTTGTCGAGGTATGGATTCTAATTCATGAGTATTAATTGACTTCATAAAAATCATAAACTGCCCAATCAACACTTTTGTAGCAGTTTACATTTATTTCAATACGTACATAAGCCGTATAAGAGCAGCAGAAAATACACACTCATTTCTATGAAATTTTGTATTGCTAATTCGTTTGGTACAGTTTTTGTAATAATTCTTATATTCATTCAGCGGACTATTCATAAGAGTCGTTCAGATGCGATTAGAAAAATCAATCCTGTCAATTCTAATAAAGAGAATCTTTTAGGGCCGAGTTTTCTCAAAAAGTCGCGAAAACTGGCGATGATGCGGAGGATAAGATACATTAGCTGGAAAGAGTATCACGAATACAGACACATGAATCTCACGACTATTTCCCATTGTTATCGACCCTAACTTACGAAGAGAATAGTCGTCCCATTCATGGGTGAACGCAGGACAATACTCATTAATCTTCATGCAGTCATCTGCACAAAAGAGTTCGCCATCACTTGTCATGTGTACAAAATATAGATCTTTTATCAGTGCATTACAGATTTGGGATTCAGTGACAAAATATTCAAGGGAAAGAGTGGGTAGGTGGTAGAGAGAATAAGATGGGAGAAGAAGTGAGAGGTGGGGGAGAGGGAACGCGAATGATAGCGAAGTTATCAGGGATGTACTACATCAGTCGTATCAAGCCAAATCCAGTGAGCAACTGCAGCACTCGAAAGCGAAGTTGCACCCGGCGGTGTCCCTATGTACCGGTGTTACCTATTGCCAGTCTGTTTCAATCTGTTGGCAGGCGGCGATGCATACAGTAGCAGGATTAGTCCTACTCGATGTAAGAACGAGCTCCGATATCGTAAGGACAACCATCAGTGGAATCATTGAATCGCACTCGTCCGTCTGCACAGCTGATGATGAGTTTGAATGTGCAAGTTGAGGGTTCCGTTGAAACGGGATCACCGGTTCACTCTAAGTTGCAAGACTTATTAGTAAGTACAAGGTGAGAAGTAATGAGATAAATTTCAAATCTTGAATTAATTCATGGTTTCAAAACTACCACAATTGCTCCTTTGACTCATTTCTTGTTCACTTTCAGTATTGACTCTTGAGTTCCTTTTAGATGGCGGGCGATCAAGGAGAACGCACTGGAAGTGTTTTTACGCTTTCTCAACATCTGATGACAAGAAAATAATGCAGAAGTTGTATGCCATATCACTGTGCTGCCGCTACGTCGGAATAAAACTTTCCATCGAGTTGATGATTGAATTAGGAGTTGATAAAGTTATTATTTATTAAGTTATTTGTTTTTGCTCACCACTCAGTTCTCTTAGGAATATAGAAAACATCATAACAGTGGCGATATGCACTAAAATACTGTCAATTTCGAGTATTAGTAAATTAGGAGTTTCGTCCAAAGATTTGGGTGAATTCATGTCAATTTTTGTTTTGAGATCTCGCTGTCTAAAAAATTTTCGAGAAAATGAGGTGGTGGTAACTCCTCTACTTCCCGTTCTTCATTCTTGTGCAATGTGTCTAGTCTAACTTCATGGTGGATTTAATCTCGAAGCTGCTGCAGACTTCACACAATATTACGCAGGGTTTGTTGTGGATTGTAGTCGTGAGAACCTTAGACTCAATTCTGGACTTAAAACTCGACAAGGACTTAGCTTTGTCGAACATCGTTTGCACTGATTTAGTCGTTTCAAGTTATGTGCGATATGGATGAAAATAGCTCAAATCGATTTTATGAATCCAAACCATTTAAAGTGGTAATTTGCGTTTGCTGCTTCTTCATGGTTGTGTTTCGCTGTAGAGTCGGAGTCGCTTTGTGGTAACATGGTACGCTTGTTCGGTGTTATCCAAATTGAT